CACACACACACACACTAGAATTAGAATTTCAGTGAAAGGAGAGATTTACAAGTTGAGTGGAGGCTTGGAGAGGGTTTGAGGTTAGGATTATATTTGATTTGAATTTTAAAGATAGGGAGGATTTGAACATTTTACTAAGAAGAAATACTCTGAAAAAAGTAGGACAAGAGGAAAGCAAAGGCTTTGCACAGCATATATGTTTACTTTAAAAAGGGTGATCTCCAGGCACTATGCTCACTTTTGCAGATGCAATGATGAATAAAAACAGACACAAAACTCTTAATGGATGCCTTGCTTATGGAGCTTAGAGTCTCGTGGGGGGAAATAGATATTAATCAAATACACAGTTGTAAAATTGCATCTGTGGTAGGTGCTATGAAGGAGAGAGAGGTGCACAGTGCTCTGAATGTCAGAGATGGAGGATTTGACCTAGGTATGGAGGTCAAGAAAGGCTTTCCTCTGAGGAAATAATGCATGTCCTGAGACCTGAACAATAAAGCCAAGGGGAGAGAGAAGACTTCTGAGACAGAACTTGATGATTATGAGGGACAGAGAATACATCAGTGTGGCTGAATCCGAACAAAGGTGAGACAGGTTTGAGAGAAGATGGAAGAGGTGGAGTGAGGCCAAACTACAGGGAAGCCATTTTGGATTAGAAGCAAGAGGGGGTTAGGAGTGTGGGGATTGGTGATGTGATTTTTTTTTTTTTTTTTTTTTTTTTTTTTTTTTTTTTTTTTTGCATTTTTAAGAGGTTATTTCTGACTTTGGTATGGAGAACAGATTGGAGGGGGACCTTAGAAATATGGATAGATCCGCTAGGAAGTGGGTAGTGGAGGAGATGGGGAGAAACAAGAAAGATTTAGGAAGTAAAACCTACAGGATTTGGTAATAGATTTGAAATAGGGGTGAGAAAGAGGGAGGTGTTAAGAATGACTCCTAGATATCTAGCTTACATAATATGAGAATCACCTGGGCTAGATTTAGGAGAAATAGCAGTGAGTTCAATTTTGGTAGAGTAGAATTTACAGTGTTTTTGAGACTCCGAGAGATTTCAGATAGGCAGCTGTTACAGTTTGGAGCTTAGAGGAAAGGCTAAAGATTTCTATCTTTATATAGGGTCTAGTGAGATTGAGTTGAAGTAGTGGAAAATACAATTATAAAGGTAAGCTGAAACTCATCATGGATGTCCTTGGCATGTAGCCTTCAGTGTATAGTTTGGGCTTTGTTCTACTATTATAAACCATAGAAGTTTGAACAGAGCAGTGACAGATAAGTACTGTGCTTTAGAAAAACTAGGCCATAAGATGAATTGGACAGAACAGGGGTTAGTACCTATACCAGAGGTACCTAAGACCTACCTGAACAAGTGTGTAGAGGAGAGAAGAGGATGGCTGGGAGAGCTATTGCAGAGAACAAATCCATATAGGACAGCTAACTGAGAGTGGGTGAGATGAGGAAGAAGAGTCAGATAGGATTTCCAGGGAGCCTGGGTAACTGGGAGGAGGATGCGGACAGGTGTGGGATAGCATAAAACTGGAAAGTATTTGGAATTGCTGGTCTATTTAGGATTTGTCTTCTTTTTGAAAGTTCATATTTTTCATGTTACCAAGGAACATCAATAATGCCAGTCATACTTAGCATCTAAGTATAATATATTCTCAGATTTTCAGACCTAGATCCTAAAGTAGGTCTTAAAGGTGTTTGTTACAATGTAAAATTTAGGTTGTACATGAGACTGTGGGAAAGAAACTATGGATTGTTTTTATTTATTAGTTTGTATATTTATTTTTTCATTTCATCTCAATTGTTCAGTATCCAAATCTAAAAGATAAGCACACTTATTATAATCACAATATCATCACACCTAAAGTGTAAAGAAATTAACAATAATTCCTTAACATAAACAATGCAGTGTTCAAATTTCTAATTGTTTTATAAATGTCAAATGTTATATTTAAAATTGTCAGTTTATTTAATCAATATCTGTGTAAGGTTCTCATGGCAAACTGCTGATATGTATCTCTTAAGGCTATTTTAGCCAACAGATTCACCTACTAACTCCCATTCCTGAAACTTATCTGTTGAAAAAACCAGGTTGTTTACCCTGTAGAGTTTCCCTCAGTCTGGATTTTGCAGATTCCATTCCAGTAGTGTTCCTTATGCTCTTCTGTCTTAGACTCAGAGAGGTTTGCTCAATTTAGGTGAGATTAGTATTGCTATTGTTTTTGTTCTTGTTGTTTTTCAATGTATTTTCTATTAGAATCAAGTGGTTGTGTTGGATGCAGACTTAAATGTTGTATGGTGCCAACTGTGGTGGAAAAGAACTTAGGAGAGCAAA